CAAGAAAATCTTACTAAAGAAGAAACTGTCAAAGTTATAAATCAAAGAAAATACTAAATTTTCAAAAAATCATATCTACCGTGTTTTTAAGAATTTTGATATGATATGTATGTTAAATTGAAGCTTAAAGATTCTACTTTATGATGTGATATAAAAACAATAAGATAATATTATTGAAATTTCCAGGAACACCCTATTAAAGAAGAAACTATCAAAGTTATAAATCAAAGAAAATACTAAATTTTCAAAAAATCGTATCTACTATGTTTTTAAGAATCATGATATGATATGTATGTTAAATTGAAGCTTAAAGATTCTAGTTTATGATGTGATATAAAAACAATAAGATAATATTGAAATTTCGAAAAAAAACTTATTAAAGAAGAAACCTTCAAATTTATAGATCAAAGAAAATACTAAATTTTCAAAAAATCATATCTACTCTGTTTTTAAGAATCATGATATGATATGTATGTTAAATTGAAGCTTAAAGATTCTAGTTTATGATGTGATATAAATTATAAATTATAAATTGTGTTAAATTTATAAATCTAAGAAAAACAAGGGTGTTTCATCCGAAAATATACGCTGTAATCTCACCTAGTTTAGTGAAAATAACTTTACTTTTAAGTTTATCATATTGATTTTGAAAATACATGGTGAAGATTGCTTGTGATGTCACAAAGGATGTCACATCGAAACTTTAATGTGATTTTTTGGTATGTTCTACACTTTTCCGCAATTTATTTTTAGTTTTAACGTGTTTTTTGGGTCATTTCACATCGATTATATTTTTAAGCCACATGATGATTCTTGAATTTATCCCATATTTGAAATTTTTTTAATCTAATTTTTTCCTTTTTTTGATTTAGAGTGTTGTTTCTAAAGGAGCTGTCACCGCATTAACTTTGCAGAACGTTGGAGGAGTTTTTTTGGTACTCGGAGTAGGAACTTTTATGGGTTTATTGATGGTTTTTGTCGAGATAACTTTTAAATCCTATAAAAGATCGAAAAAAGAAGAAACCAAATTTAAAGAGGAGATGCGAGAAGAGATCGAGTTCTTTTTAAAGTTCAAAAAATCGGTTAAACCGATTAAATTCAGTAATAATAGCGTTGAATCTAACGCAGAAACTGTTGATAACATGGATAATTTTTATAATGAATCACGATAATAAAAAAGTTATAACAAAAAGTACTTAAAAAAAACATCCTACACTTATAATTAATTTTTTGTTTCGCTTCAGTGTGTTAATTAACTCGATTGAATCAATCGAATCATGTTGTTATTATTTTTGTTATTTCTAAATTCTTTGCATGAAATTAAATCATCGAAATTGCGTAGGTTTTGGTAAATTTTATATGAATAAGTATTTTTAGATTATTTTTAGCTAATTTTATACAACCATGTCCGAATATGCTTGGGGAAGAAGATCGTTTAAACGATTGCCTTCTTTCGCAAACGAAAACCGTTGTTAACACCTTAAAAGATGGAAGTAATGAATTAGAAATTCCCCCTTTGGACCCGTTGCAATTGGATCTTTTACATTTATCTTTACACGATGATTTCATTTTTTCTTTACACAATCTTACAATTTCCGGTTTATCCGATTGTAGTTTTATGCGGCTTAAGATTAATAACACCGAAAATAATTTGCAAATGTCGATTCATTTTAAAAAGATTACAATCGTGGGGTATTATAAGTTATTAGGATTTCTTTTTGTAGCGCAAGTTAATAGTTCTGGTTATACATCGATGGTTTTTGGTGAGAAAAATCGATTTTATTTCTTAATCTTTAATTTTTGTGTTTTAGATGATGTTATTTTAAATGTAAAAATGCCAATGAGTACGATCCAAAGGGATTCAATTCCGTATTTGTTGTTACCAAGAGCTTTCGATGCAGGAATCACATTTTCGGGGGTTTCCGTTGAGTTTGAAAACTTATTCCCGTCGGAACCTGTTTTAGGAACGATTGTTAATAAGTTTATTAACGATAATTTCGATGATTTATTCCAAGTAATGCGACCGGGCGTTTTGGACGTTCTTAAACACAACCTACACAAATTATTCTTTAAATTGTTAGCTTTTGTCCCTGTAGATGAGATATTTAAGATGAAATAAAAATTGTTTAAAGATTATTTATCTTTTATTCGTCAAACATTTCATCGATATTCACGTTATGTAGGAAAGGATGGGATATGATCCTAAAAACTTCCCAAAGAACCGAGATTACCCACGGTTTAACGTTTTGAAATGCCTCGAAGAAAGTTCGCCTGATCATCTCGTTTACCCGATCGTTTAAAATTGGATCGTTCGGAATCAAATTTCCGAAATACACGTTAGCTTTTTTAATGTCCACATTCATAGTTTGCCCATCGTCTGGTTTTAAAGGCATTTTGTAGAAGATTTCATCCTCGATTTCGACCAATTCAAAATTAATAACCATGTGGATAACGACATCTCCTAAAATGAGAGTTTTATAAATTTTATTTTGATGAATAAATTATTTTTACCAAAAGACATTGCGGCCGGTCCAAATGAGTCGATATTAAAGTAATAAATTGGACCTTTTAACCGATAAAATCCTTGCAAACTAAGTTGAGGAAATCGTAGTCTCAATTCCAAAGAACTCTTTAGCGGATTAGCGTAAAGATATTCAATTTTAACCTTCGACAAGCCATTTATTTGGAGATTTTTTATTTCAAAATTGATCGTATCGTGCGGAATCTCCACCGCTTCCAACAACAACGGATCCAAAGGTAAAAACCCCATCGGAGGGTAACCATGTTTTAAAACCTGCATTATACGCGGAATTTGATGCATTATGCAGTATTGAAGAAGCGGGTTGCTTTTTGAACATGGCGTTATAAAAGGGGCTTAAAATAAAACGATTTTTTGTTTTTAATCGATAATTAATATAAAGTACTTACGTAATTCAGAGAACGTGAAATTGAAAAGGAGGAAAAACAAAAATTGTTTAAATAAATTGCTCATATTCTGATTAAAAATTGATCGAATTAAAATAAAACATTTAAGTAAAGTAAGGTTGTTATGGGGAGAGTGGGTTGGGTTATAAAAAATTTATTAAATCGTAAAATTTCTTATTGTTTAAAACGAAAATATCAATAATTAAAGATAAAATAATATGATATGAAAATCTACTAATCGTTAATATAATTAAAATAATTATTAATTACTTCGTTGGGGTAATCCCAGAAAAAATGTTTTGATACGGAATAAGTTTGGCGACATCCTTCAAGATATCCACGATAATATTCTTAATGGTTTCTGAANAAACACAACCTACACAAATTATTCTTTAAATTGTTAGCTTTTGTCCCTGTAGATGAGATATTTAAGATGAAATAAAAATTGTTTAAAGATTATTTATCTTTTATTCGGATGTACGGTCCTGGTCGTGAATGACAAGGGCGCGTGGAATTTCGGTCCGAGAGGAAATAGAAGTTTGGTGAGAAAAAGCGAGTCAGAATTGTTTTAAAAAGGGGCAGTGTCCATAGTTGTTATTGGGGAACGATTCCCCCTGGAGATTTTGTACGGTGGGAATCCTTAATTGTCAACTAAAGTAATTTCGATACCGAGAGGCGCCGTCCCACCGAGAAGTTGATTCGGGGACGGCTCTTAACGCGGTACAAGAACCGGTAGTGCCCGGCTGAATAGCAGTGCAGGGCCGGACTGATTTACTATTCCCATTTCTCGAGTGGAAAAGTGATTCGACCGTTGTCGCTGGGGAAAGAATCCGCGGAAAGGGGAAGAGATGGGAGACCGATCCAGGGCAGGATCGGTATCTTCAGGGGTGTCGGAGA